TGCATATAATAATATCTATTAATCATAATTTATATTATATAAATGTATAATTTAAATATATACACATCTATTATTTAACATAATTTCAGCACTGATAATAATTCTGCAATAATAATTCTCTTATTGGCAATACGATTGGTTTGTGATTTATTCTTAGAGTCAGAAAAATATATGAGATGTCATTATTCTTGGCCAATATATGTATATCTATAATTATATACACATACATACATTAAAACAATATATACATAAATAAATAAAATAAAAACAAATTTGTATTATAATTTATTCTATCAATGTATCAAAATAAAATCGTGTTTGTTACAGAATACTAATTTTGACTTAATCTCGTTTTTTACAGTGTCTCATATATAAATAACTACTAGAGGCAATTAAGTCCTACGTACGCATTTCGCCTAATCATGTAAAACAGGTTTTGCGTTGAACGAGAGACGGAGAATGTAGAAATTTAAATATGTCCACGAATATATGTATAAATATGCGCGCCCGGGCTAAGGTTAAGGCTAAGGTTATGAATGCATTCCATTTAATGTTCGTAAACGCTCATAAGTATCATTTTATCCTAGTCATCAAATATTAAACAAGAACGAAATAATGTATGCAAATGTAGCAAACGTTAAATAGAAAATACTCTATATATATATGTTTGGGATTTTATAAATTACGGCAGATATATATATGCTTAGTATTAATTCGCATTAATGCGAATAACTTTCCGCCGTTTTATTTCTCGGTCATCATGCGTCCCTCTTTCGAGCAATTTTTCAAAGCCTCGCTTGATATTCCAGTGTAAGACATAATCGGGAATAAACGTTTGCACAGCCTGTGTGCAACTAGTGTCGTTGCAATGTAAACAGTCGCATGTATGCATAGATACGACGACGAGAGAACCCCGATAAAACCGTCAATGCAATCGACAAATGCATCACGCTTGGAATATCGCTGCTCTCTCTCTCTCTCAATTTTTTTCCCTTACGATTTTTCGCAGAAAATGATCATTTCGAAAAATAAATAAAAAAAAATACAGTCAACTACATGTAATTGGTACACAGAGAAAAAGATTTGTTTGGAGGACTCGAGAGTCCTATTTATATTTGTTTCATTGAAACAAATTTAATTTTAAATGAAACATATTTTGCTTAGTCAAAAAAATTTAGTTTTAGTAAAAATAATCACATTCTTAATTTAGGCATTTATTTGGTTGGACTATTCCAATGTATAAATTTGTTTGATTCAAAGAAACCTTTTCTCTGTGTAACATTAAAATATATTAACAAAAATTAGATTATTGATATAACACGAAATATTCGACAGATTTATTCGCTTCGAATTGACATGATTTGGTTTAATTTAATTGCAATAAATAAACAAACGGTTAACAATAAGAAAACAGTTAAGAAAAAATACTTTCGGAATTCGTTTGATTAATACGTGGCGAATAATGATTGTATAACTTCGGGCGCAGAAGGCTAGATGGCGACCGGATTATTTAGCAGACGTGCAATCCACAGACGGCTGGCGCTAGTAATGAGATAAATTTCTAACGATAGTTGGAAACAATTGTCTCTTAGTGAACCCTCCGTTGCTATTAGAGTCACACCTGCATGCACATACACGGCAAATGAATCAAATGTTCTCACTGGTTTCTGAGTTGGTCGTCTACTTCAAGCGTATTTAATAAACTGCGCGCAAAGCCGTCGAGACAGGATCTAAATTTTCGTAGCAATTTCGCGTTCGTGAAATAGAGCGCGGCATGACGATGCCAATAACGAATTTGAGTCGCTGCATTCAAGTCTGTTCCTTCTTCTTTGTGCAATAAGTGTGTAAATATAGAAGTAATAAAAATCCTAAATGCGCGCGTTATTTTAACATATGATTGAAATATAAAATAAATTAAGGCTGCGAGACACAAAGAACTTAAGCGGTAAGACGTAAGTAATGAGCGAATCAACATTTTGGATTTGCTTCTGCTTACGTTATTGCCTTCTTATTCTTATTTTCTCTACTACGATTGGCTAATTCGTTCTAAAATATTCCAATCTGTCTGTACACCTTTACAAGAATATCCTAATAAATAATAAATTATTTCATAAGATAATATTGACATAACTAAATAAATAATAATAAAATAAAAGGCAACTTACAAAGTAAACGCAGTGAGAAATCAAGATTATTCCGAATATAAAATTACTTGGTTTTAGTATACATTGCGTTTTAACGACATTGACGACACGTAACTTTCAGGATATTCTAATAAAGGTATACAGACAGCTTGGAATATATCATTTATTTAGGATATATGGCATTTTTAGCGGGCGAAATTTATGCTCAAAGTGTGCAGATTGGATTCAGTGCACTAAATGTAATAAACGTATTACATGAAATATGTACCTCATGTCATAACACTTATAATACATATATGTAGGAAGATATAATTATTATTTATTACTGTAATTATTATTTATTACTTCATATATATTTTATCATTCTTATTCCTTAATAAAACGTTGTAAACACATTTTATAAGTTATTGTGTCATTTTACGTCTTTATAAGACGTAATTTATAAGAATTTGGAAATTTTCATGAGCTGTACATACCTCCCCCACCCTCTTTAAGAGTAGCCGCATAACTCACCCCCATGGGATATATGGCTAAAATGCAAGGGTTTCAAAAAGTTCTTTTTTTAATACGGAAAAATAAGTATTTTGGATTTCTAATATTTTTTTCGTAGTAATAGACAGTACAAAGTTTTTACTGTTATAGTTCGTATACTTTAAACATAATAAATAATACTTAATAAATTAAGTTTTTATTAGGTACGGCGTATATACCGGAGTTACCCTATTTTTTCTATATACGTCATGGGCTTTTTAGATAATACAATAATAATACTAGTTTACAAGATTTTGTGCAAGATTATATGAAGACTTTCTAGAATAATTTTTGACGATCAATTCGAATTTGCCATTGAAATATTTTTATCAGGTCCGATTTTTAAAAATTAAGGAAAAACATTTTTTCCAATATACAGTAAAATTTTATTGAAATTAAAAAACAAATCAGGTATATAAATGTGCGAGTGAACGTTTCATTTTTATGTCTTATATAACTTTGGATCGGTTTCACGCACTGGATCTAACAATAGTTGTCTAACATATTTTTATTCTAACCTCTGAAAACGTGATAACATTTCTCAATTATAATTATCATAAAATCCTGAATAGAAACGTTCGCTTTACTTATCACTTGATGTACTCAACTTATTTAAAAGAAATATTTATCTTAACACTGACATACTATCTTAAAAATTTGACTTGATGGAATTTTTTCTGACGATAATTCGAACTCAACGAAATACTTTCAGTATTTTTATTCAAAATTCCAAATAGAATTAGATAATTTTTTAAAAGTACAACTATAAGCTAAATTATAATAGAATGCAAGTAATGCAAACAAACTTTATATTACAAATTAGTAGAAGGCAGATTCCACGAAACTATATTTATCATTTTCTACAATTGGAGTCACGAAACCTGTATGTAGGACAATACAGAAAAGACTCACTATGATATAGTATCTGCGAGCTGTTCTCTGCCGTTAAGTAATGTCATCTGATTCTTTTTATATAAAAATTCACGAGACACACAAGAGTACGTGGATATACGTGGAAGTGTATGCCATTCTTAATGCTAATAAATTGTCAACATTTCATATTATAAGAAAAATGATCAAATAAAGAATAATATTTTTAGAAAGAGAGAAAAATTAATGAAATTTCAAAAATTTCGCCGAGTACCGATAAAATCTCTAATTTTCAAGAATAAACAAGAAATTTCTTGAAAGTTCCCCAGTTTGCCATATTTTTTCTAGGTAATAAACATTCCGAGGTAATATCTTCTGCCTGAATTATTCATCCCAATTAAGAACTTCCTCAGACGATTCTTAGACAACAATGTATACTATCACTTTGCCATTCGTTTGTAATCCTATCGATCTCTCGAGACCGGATCTACGTTCTGTTTGTCGAAACACTGCTCCATTAATTGCAACAGCACTTTATCCTTAATCCTGCGCGTCAATTAGTCTTCATTAAGTTCTCGAGCTATGCTGGGTATTGGTAACGCGCGTCGGTTCGAAGTATGCGCGAGATAGGGCGATCGATCACACGTGGCACTTGTGCCACTTTGAGAAAGTAAGTCAATGTAACTCGCCCGAGTAAGGTTGCGCGCGGCTGATTCGTCGAAACAACCCGGGTCCCTGAAATCTTCGTTTAGTATAGATCGCGTCATCATCATGGTCAGGCCTCTCCAATTCGCCCACTCGTCGTCGGCGACGTCACCCGGAACTTCCGCATATCGGATATCCCATGGATGATCGAGTGCGTGAATTCACGCGCGACATCGACGGACATCGCATGTTAAATGATCTTCGATAGCGTAACTCAGCGAATCAAATCAATCATTACTATATAGAGAGAGCAGCATCGTGTCGTACAATGACATATCGCTTGAAAGTATAAAAAAGACAGATTGCTGCAACCGCTTAATATTAAATTTTTAATACTAAAATTGTAATATTAAATAGCCTGGATATTTTCGACTGCTTTCAAGTTTAATATTGAATTAAATGTAAGTAAATTGATACGTCTAATGCCTGGTTTCTACCAATGTAGGTTAATTTTAATCTCGATTCATCTAACTCTTCATCTTTTCCAGTTTTAAGAATTTGAAAAACACGGAGAGTAAGTTGAATCGAGATTCAAGTTAATTTACATTGGTAGAAACGGACATAAAAGATATAACATTGACAATTTTTTAAAGAAAAAAATTGATCTCGATATCTTTTCTGAATTAATGAATCGTAATAACGTTGGCGACTAAACGAGATTCACTCTGCGCGGCTTGAATTTTTACGCAAAATATCCGATGCGATCACTTGTTTCAATTATTGAATAGTGTAATAATAACGCGTACTCACCTTTCGAGAGTTTCTCCACAGATTCAAAACGTCCTTCGATTTTGTTCCGCAGCGCGTCCAAATCGAAGGGTGCCGTAAATCCATGATCCACACTACGGCTCTTGCTCCTGTAATAGAGTAAATGTCGCCGTTAATTAGCTTTACTCTCGTTTATATCCCGAGTTCGTTTTTTTGATTAAGTAAAACGAAATCTACAAAAGTAGGGAATAGAATGAAACGATCTCTCAGAATGTGTCGAGAGGTAGGCACTTCGCTCTCTCCGTACGCTTTTAAAAAAATTAAATTCCCTACCAATTCTACTTCATAAAATGACAAAATTCGCAAAACTTGCTTAAAAAATCGTTCCAACAGAAAAAAGAGAACAGAATAGTTGAAAATGTGAAGTGTGCGAAAACAATACCAAATGAAAATAAACGCGTGAAAATATCGGGTAATGAAAAGGTATTCTTGTTTGCGGTTTACGTCCCTGGAATGGAATCAAGACGCTTACACATTCGGAAATAGAGTCAAGAGAACTCGCGTCGACTTACTCTTGCGGGTAGACGTTAATAGTTTGGCGTGACACTATTTGTAAAACGCTCGGCTCAGTGGAGACAATCTCGCGTAGCCATAACAAAACGCAATTTCACGATGCAACGAACCGTGCACTGTGCAGGTTGTCTCCATAAGTCGCGTCGTCTACGAACGCATGGCCGACAAAGATAAAGTCCAATGAAATTCCTGCGAATGAGTCCGGATAATACGACACAGTGTAACGCGAAAGAAGAAAAAAAAAAAAAAAGAAAGAAACGCGAATGACAAAATCGGTTGAATGAACTTTTGCGTTATGCCATAACAATGACATATTGCTGTAAATCACATTTCCGTTAGGTTTCTCTTTTTTTTGTTTTAGTTCTTTCTTATTCTAGTTTTTGTACTTTACAGAAATATAAAATTTTTTAATAAATATCGAAAAAAAAGACGAGTTTATATTATATAAATTTCATCAGCTTACTGCTAGATTTATCGTCAACAAGAAATGACGTTTTCGAAAATTTCAAAAAAATAAGATTCTACTTTTATTAAAATTTTGACACTCTTACATGCTTTTTGTGTACATATCTTGCATGTGTTTCTCGAAAGGTTGCATAATCATACTACATTCTAAATCGACAATAATAATGATGAGATACAACTATTTACAATACTTAGTTCTCACTGCTGAAGTCCACGGAAAATAGAAAAATGATGAGATGATAACGTGCATATGTATGTTTTGCGTACCTGACATAAGATGATGAGAGTGAACCCCAAAAAAAAAAAAAAAAAAAAAAGAAAGAAACGCGAATGACAAAATCGGTTGAATGAACTTTTGCGTTATGCCATAACAATGACATATTGCTGTAAATCACATTTCCGTTAGGTTTCTCTTTTTTTTGTTTTAGTTCTTTCTTATTCTAGTTTTTGTACTTTACAGAAATATAAAATTTTTTAATAAATATCGAAAAAAAAGACGAGTTTATATTATATAAATTTCATCAGCTTACTGCTAGATTTATCGTCAACAAGAAATGACGTTTTCGAAAATTTCAAAAAAATAAGATTCTACTTTTATTAAAATTTTGACACTCTTACATGCTTTTTGTGTACATATCTTGCATGTGTTTCTCGAAAGGTTGCATAATCATACTACATTCTAAATCGACAATAATAATGATGAGATACAACTATTTACAATACTTAGTTCTCACTGCTGAAGTCCACGGAAAATAGAAAAATGATGAGATGATAACGTGCATATGTATGTTTTGCGTACCTGACATAAGATGATGAGAGGTTTTCCGTTGATTTCGAGGTTGTGACATCCTGGGATAAACGCCTGGAATGCAACCTGGGATGCAACAAACAATCCAAAACAAGGATGATGAAAACACATGCAATCTACAACGTGCGCAAGAGTTTAAAAATTAAAATCATAATTAAAAATTGAAAGAAAAAGTAAACTACAGAGTACGCTTGAAAAGTAATTTCTATCTGGAAAAACTGTTTTCCACGCAGAGTGCTTAAAGTATTTTAACCTTTCGCAGAGTTTAATGAGTGACTTTGCGTACTTGACATTTCAATTCGCGATGTATGACCCATGTAATTTATCAAGTTTTCGCACGTTTTTCGCAGTTTTGTGCATTAATTCATCACATCTACTTGCAAAAGATAAATTTTTATTTCTTTCAAAATTTCATTAAAATACATTATAATTCGGAACTCTTTTCATGTTATAAGATTTAAAAATATTCAGTTGACACACAACGGCGTTACTTCTTTCAAAATATTCACTCTTGAATAAAAATCTTGAATAAGTATCTTCGATGTAAGTAAAAATTTCACTCCAAGCGTACAGCAGGAACTACTACATCAAATTAAAAAGCGTGGGTGCAAAAAGCAATTCCGCAAGAGCACGACGCTCGCAGTCAAAAAAAAAAAAAAAAAATAAAAAAAAAAAAAAAAAAAAAAAAAACATTCAGAACGTGTCAAATCGAGCTAATTGTCAGAAAAGTAATGATCGTAATGCATTGTAGCGCTCTAATGGATGTTCATGCAATTTTGTTATTTGTAGCAATCCGTGCCGTGGACAACAAGTATTGCCTATGTTGTGCGCGTAAATCGCGAAAATGCTGTCGCACTTCATGCAGTAATACCCATATTCGCTCAATTTGAGAAGTAACATCCGCGTGCGCTCGCGCGCACGCGAGAGGCTGCGACTCTTCCCGCGCTAATTGCATCCGACGTTTTAATTCAATTACATTCGATGCGGCTTAGCGGGTTCATATCGGGGAAGTGCTCCGAATTAATGACCTGTTTGCTAAAATATCGCAGAAATTCTTTTCTCTATATAATATACATATACTGACACTGGAAAAAGTGGTATTATTGTAAATCAACATCATTATTTTAATTGAAAATAATATTGTTATAATTCAATAACAATATTAATAAAACAAATAATGTTTTATTAAAACAGAAGCACGATGCATTTGTTTCATTAATAGTGTCAGTGAATTAACAAAATTATTTTTATAATTAAAATAATGCTGTTGAAATAACATTCTTTTTTCAGTCTATTTGCATTTTTATGCAACAAAATATAATTTAAATATAAAGAAAAAATAACAGTCTAAATCGAGCGGTAATGAGATTTTTTGTATAACAAATTTCTAGTTTACAATGTTAATACAACATAAAAATAAAAAATATAAAAAATATAAAAATAATATCGAACGTTTAGGAACTCACAGGTCCTTTTTCAGCAATTCTTATAAATGTTATAATACAATGTCATAGAGATAAAAGCATAATCTTACGGTCTAAGCGACATGTGTGGTTTGAAGAAATTGATTCTCCTGTTGTTTTTGTGTAAATGTGAAAATTGTGTAATGAAATATATGAAAATAGGAGCATCTATACGTATTCGTCAGATTCTGATAAACGCAAATGTTACAAAAAAAATCTCATTACCGTTTGATTTAGATCGTTTTTCTTTATACTTTGCATTGCAAAAAAACGAGCGAAATCTACTTATAACTTAAATATTTTAATCTGTAAATTATTCCAAATCCGTTTTATAACAAAATTTATAACAAAAAAATTAATTTCTCTTTTTACCGTAAATTAAAAGAATTATTCACAAACATTGTTACATAATAAAAAAAAAAGAAATATATTTTCTTAGTTCTTGATAAAAAAATGATTTAGATTAATTATGTCTAACCTTTTTTAAGATTTTTTTTTTAGAAAGCCATTTTTAGAAATAAGCAAAATTTTGTGGACCGCATTAATTATTTATTTCGTTTGCATAAAATAAAAAAATATGTTTTTATATTTTTAGCTGGCAAAACATTGATAGGCAGGCCGCAAGATAAACATCACTGATTTAGATTATTCTATAATGCAATGTATCACAAGCGAGTGGAGAAACGTATTATTCATTAGGTCTAACTAAGTGAATAATTGAATTATTCACACTACCGATGAATTAAACGGTGAGATTGGATTCTTTGAGGTAGCAAATTTTGTTAAAAATTTAAGAAAGTTTCTACAGAATTGCGGTTGTCTCTACGTTTAGCGCTGTAATATTTAACAACTCGGTAGAAACTCGGAAATAATATGAGCCAAAAGGCGCACACGTGTACACTGAACGAAATTGAGAGAAAACGTTTTATGTATCGGAAGATATAAATTCAGAACCTGTACAAATACTACACTGATAACAGTCTAACCTTGACAATCATGTAAGCTAATTTGTTAATTTTTTAACAAAAAAATTTTTTCATTAAAAATTAAATATGTACTCTAACTCGTTTTGATTTCTTTTTCTTAATTATTTTTAGTAAATTATTTAGTAAATTTATCAGTTTGATGAACACACAAGATGTGACTTCAATTCGGACATTACCACCACGGTATTTTGTATACCTACTTCACACTTAAATAATTTATATTTTGTATGCGCTATCATTATGTATGTAACTTTTATATTTAATCAATTTTCTTTGTACTCTGAGGAGGACCTTTTTTAATCGTAGGTCGAAACGTATACGCTTTATTATACATTTCAAATAAATTTTATATTAAAAAAAAACACTAATAACTTGTGTCGGCTCATATTAGCATTTTATTAATGTTTTTGAATGTTTTATTAATCTAAGCCTATTGATTATCTTGATTTTATAAATTCAGAACTTCGCAGTATATATCTGAAAATAAAGGCGAAATACAAAATATAGCGCTCAGTACCTTCAGATGTGATTCATTTTCACGGGCTTCGCAATTTGTGCAAAGTTGGATTTTACTGGCGATTAGGCAGCATAAATTACGTTTGTGTTAAATTATACGACGTTATGCCAATAATTAGCCGTCGAAACAGCCTGAAGGCGGGCGAAATTAATGTTACCGTGCGACATTCCGGGTGGAAATGAAATAAATTGTCGAACAATATTTAATTAAGTGACCTAACGCGCGCATCGTTTTCACGGTCCGGGTAAATATGAGCGGACAGGTATAAATAGCTCTGGCACAATTTCGATGGCCCTTGTTTACGCGCCCGTTGCTTTCACGCTCGGGCAATATACTT